TCCTTCCTTCCTTCCTTCCTTCCTTCCTTCCTTCCTCTTTCTCTCTTTCTCTTTCTTTCTTTTTCTTTTTTTTCTCTCTCTCTTTCTTTCTGTTTCCCTCCCTCCCTCCCTTCTCTCCCTCTCTCTATCTCTCTCTTCTTTCTCTCATTCTTTCTCTCTTTTTCTCTCCTTCCTTCCTTCCCCTCTCTCTCTCTTTCTTTCTTCCTTCCTTCCTTTTTCCCTCTTCCCTCCCCTCCCCTCCCCTCCCCTCCCCTCCCCTTTTCTCTTCCTTTCTGCTCTGTTCTTTCTCTTCCTCCTTCTTCTCCTCCTTCTCTTCCTCCTCCTCCTCCTCCCTCCTCTCCCTCCCCTCCCCTCCCCTCTCCTCTTTCTCCTGAGACTTCAAGTCAGGACCTGGCCACTATCCCTAAGCTTCTTTTGCTCAAAGCTAGCATTCTACCACTTGAGCCACAGCACCACTTCCAGCTTTTTCTGTTTATGTAGTACTGAGGAATCAAACCCAGGGCTTCATGCATGCTAGGCTAGCACTCTACCACTGTGCCACATTCCCAGCCCAGCATTAATTTTTAATACCATGAATTAATACAGACTGGTACATCTCCCTGTCTTCCTACTTAGTAACTAACTATACTTTGGAAATTGATGTAGTGATGAAAAGCCTATTCAGTGTGCCATAGACAAAAGAAGTCAGATTTGGCTGGGTGCCAGTGGCTCATGCCTGTAATCCCAGCTGCTCAGGAGGCTGAGATCTGAGGATCGAGGTTCAAAGCCAGCCTGGGCAGGAAAGTCCATGAGACTCTTATCTTCAATAAACTACCAGAAAACCGGAAGTGGTACTGTGGCTCAAATGGTAGAGTGCTAGCCTTGAGCTGAAGAACTGAGGGACAGCGCCCAGGCCCAGAATTCAAGCCCCAGGACGGCCAAAAAACAAAAACAAGAACAAAAGAAGTCAGATTTGGTTGGTAGATTTCTACATTGGAGGAGGAGAGAACTGAATCCCTCTCTTTGTATGGTCTTTTAATGTTTTCTAATTTCAACAAAGAAAATAACATTATGAACGTCAAATTTTAAGTTTTTTGCAGAGACTTTGAAGTCAGGGCCTGACACTTGACTAAGCTAATACAATACTGCTGAGCCACACTTCCAGCTCATCTATATTTTCTACTTGAAAGGAAATACGTGTTTCAAATGTTTATTTTGATAGGAAGATAAAAAATACATATTAAATAGAATATATGGAATCAGTGTCAGCATTTGCTATTATGTAAGAAAGAGGGCCTTATATTTGAGTCTTACAAATTTTTTGAGTGCTACCAGTTTTTGGACCTAATACTCCAGGTATAGATAAACATATAAAGATGCAATTCTTTTCGAGTGTGGTTATTTTTTTGCATGAATTAAGCATTGCTAGATGGAGATTAAATGTGAGTTTAATGTGCTATATGTACTTCCTGTCCTTCATTTAATCAGTAAGTATGTTCCTTTACTAAATTCCCATTCAGTTTGGATACAGAGTTTATCCTAGGAGAACTTACTAAAAGCAACGGAAAGTGTGTGTGTGTGTGTGTGTGTGTGTGTGTGTGTGTGTGTGTG